AGGAAGGAAGGAAGGAAGGAAGGAAGGAAGGAAGGAAGGAAGGAAGGAAAGAAAGATTCTTACCAGTAAATGCAGTGAGCTGCCATGTTTATGTATTCCCCATCTTGGACATGTTCCAGCAAATGTCAAAGGGTAGAAAGTGGGACTCAGCATCTTCCAAGATGTCTTCAACCTCTAAGATTCTGTGACTCCAGTTCAAAAATGGTCACTTCCTTCCAAGGTCGACAGAAAAATCTTTGTGGAACAAGTAGGATATCCAATCTAGACTTGGAAGATGGTCAGGATTTTGATAGATGAGCAACAGAAGGAAGGGCACGTCATGTAGAAGGACAATAAGCTTGCCTTGCTGGAGGTGACTTTTCACATGAGGGTCCAAAGCCATCACAACAAAACTGACAAAGCTTTCATTGCCAGGGTGAGGGATTTGAGCAAAATATGTTAAGCAGCAAGCAGCCATCAAGGAAGGAATTTTCTTTTTTTTCTTTTTTATTTTTTATTTTGCAAGGAATTACAATTCAATTAAGGAGAGCTTCAAGGAAGTTTGTTCTGGCATTTACTTAGGACAGATTAGAAACAGGTGAGACTGAAAAAATCAGGAAATTACTGAGAAAGATAAGAAAATAGGAACCGAAACTCAAGGAATGGGAATAAAATTAAAGTTTAGAATAATGGAAACTTTTGGGAAAGAAGAATCCATAGAACTTGGTGGCTGGTTATGTCGGGAAAGAGGCAGAAGGAAAAAATCAGCAGAATGAATGAACAGGTTTGAGTCCATGTAAGAGGGAGATTGAGAAAAGCAGAGTGTCTTGAAAACAACAAGGTCAGGGGGTGTAATCTGAGAGACCAGTCACAGTCCCAAGGTCCCAACGTGGGAAGCCAGTCTAAGAAGAACTCCGGCCAGGACGACATCTCCAATTCAGGCAGTGTCTCACTAGCATCCAGTGGAATATTACCAGCTGCTATCTCAGAGGAAATTGGGTTCCCTGATTTTCTAAATGAGCCAAGCTGTTGGGCTGGCAACCAACACACATGACAGGCACTTAGCCAAGCATAAAGCAACAGGTCTAAAACATGTGAGTGTGTAGATAAACCATCTCCAGCATTTAGCAACCTGCTAAGGGAACTCACAGAAACATAGGAAAAAGAAATCTCTCCAAACTCCAGAGCCCCTGTTTTTTACACTTATATCAAAACATGTATAAACCTATTATGAGATCTACTTTCTCTCTTACTGGGAAATACGGCAGAGAGGGATACTCCAACGCAAAAGCATTTTTTTGAGGTGGTACTTGAGATAAAATTGGGGGAAGAAAACTCTTCAACATAACTTAGGCTCAGTCTATGTAGAAAAAGTAAATATAGAGGCAGAGCTGATGAATTTGAACAATGTAGAGAACCAGGCTGGATCATTCAAACTCCTAAAGCTGCTTTTTTTCTCACCAGTGGTTGGTTTTATTTTGTTTTGTTTTGTTTTGTTTTGTTTTGTTTTGTTTTGTTTGTCTTTGCTTGGATTATCTGGGCAATTACCTCAACTCTCCATTTCACTCTGGTTCTACAGACATGGCACTCTGAGTGTTCTATTTTTATCACGTTCGAACAAGGACGGAACACAATGAAATGAGCCTCACTGAGGGATTAGGCCAGCTGAAAGGATGTGTTTCCTGCACATCCTATGTTTTCCATGATGCGGAAAAATGAGCCATTCCCTGCCCTTGGTCTGCCCTCTCCACTGACAATACTTTCCTCCTCAGAGACAAGGGTAAAGCAGAAAGCAACATTTGGGAAAATATTTATGTTGATAAGGGCGAAATGAAGGACTGCTGTCTGGGAAGTATACTTAATTGACCAAGTCATACAAGAGTCCGTAACTCTGGAAGTTCCCTAGAAGGCTGAACAGGGTTTGCTCCATGTCGTGGACTTCCCTAAGCAAAGTCGAAATTCAGTGACTCCCTGAAGTTCATAGGGCCAATTCCAAGACTGCAGCCAGGAGCTCTGAGTTGAAATCACTTGCACTGTAAGCTTTGGATACCAATAGGATTCCGTGGCTGGGAACGGCTGGATGCTTCGGAAGGCAGTTTTCTTTCTTAGCTCTCTTTAGGTCCGGTGACCTTGGCCTTCAGTTTTCCTGTCCCTATAAAAACCACTCTTCCTTTTAAGTGAGCTTGAGACACACACCATAGATGCTTCTTGAAATATCATTTTGCAGAAAGGCAGTATTTTTCTATTTACAGGAAGAGAAAGGGTGGTGAAAAAGGACTGAACGGCTTCCAGCTGCTGTCGAGAAAGGGGGACTAGTTACAGAATGGGGACATCCCTTCTTCAAGCCCTGTTCCCTAGGCCTGGACTCCTGCACGGCCAGCTCCATGGAGCTCAAAACTTCAACTTGAAGAGCATGCTCCATACCTGCCTTACTACCACAGTATGAACGGGGACTGAGATGAAATACACACAAATCATCTTAGGACCTTGGAATCTCTATTACGCAGAGAGGTGAAGACACTGGGCCACTCTAGACTTACTGGCCTCCCAGCTGAAGGACTCTGCATCACAGCTTACATATCCAGTGGCCACTCTAGAATGGCTTAAGGCTGGCTGTGCAGTTAGGAGGGCTGGCACCGGATTTTGTTTTAAAGCTGAGTTTACATCACCGTCACCCCGTTTGCATTTAGATTGAATTTTATAATCAATGAAACTAGCAAACATTTCTAAAGATGCTTTTATTTAAAATCCAAGTAGGATTGCAGCTACTTCAATAGTCCATAGTGTTAACTGAGGTCCAGGTTAAAGCTTCCTCAAGCCATGGGTTTTATCCCAAAAGAGAACTTCAAGAAAAATCCTTATGAAATGGTGCCCAGAATCCATTTAAAGATGCATAAACCTCACAGAAACAACTGGTCCGGGGAGGAATCAGGCTATTTATGACGGCGACATACTTTACAAAAGCTCTCAGAGGGGGCTGACAAGGCAAGCAAAGAAAGAACTTTCTTAAGTAAATATCAAATCAATTAAAGGAAGAGATCCATGGAAATAAATCATTTACAGAAACAGGTCCTACCTGCGGTTTCCAACACAAAATACGCTCAATGCTACACCTCCAGTAACTAAATACAAATGGATTCCAAAGTGATTCAATCTTCACACACTGAGTAAGAGGCAACCTGCTAAAGCAAAGCCTGCAAAACAAAGGTTTTCAAGATATAAAAATTCATAAACCTTTCTTATCAGAAAAGAGGTGAATGAATATTTTCGTATTCTTATAGCCTGTTTGCTTTAGCATTTGTCATGTAGTTATTCTGTGCAAAGGTAAGGTCTGGTATGCAGCATAATTATTCTCCCACCTCCTCCTGTCACAAGGTCTCCTTAAAGGGCAAGTTCTTTCTTTAGTTCTTTAAATGCTCCCAAAAAGATATCTTAAGGTCAAGAAACTCCAACAATGCGCAAATATCTTTCAGAAGTAGTCGATTTCCCCCTAGTCCCATTAGGGGAAATCTTATTGTAGTCAGTCTAAAGCACGTTAATGGAGGGTCATGTTTCTATTTACTCTGAGACGGTAGTAGTAATCGGAAACAGGAGGAAGCAAGACCCTCACAGCACTGGAGCTCCGCACTCCAGTTGGGTCACCATCTTCTAGTCTGGATTCCAGATGATATCAAAATGACGTTCCACATAATTCATCAGAGACATATATATGTACATGTATGTGGGGTCTATTGAAGCCTCCTGTCA